TATACTCTTGACAGAAGGTATCTCATCATCTCCAGCAACGTCTTCATCATCAGAGTCATCGGCGTCAGTGAGAGGGGGCATTTCGAGGTCTGTCTCTTCTTCAACCTTCGACATCAATATGGTGCTGCTCTCTGTTTCATCCCAGCGCCAGAAGGAATGGGTACCATTCCACTCGTATATTCTCTCGCCAGTGCTGCCATCCTCAATTACAATACCGTCATCATCACGATCGACTTCCACTGTAGTAGCACGTGCAGCAAGTACAAAATGCCTCGTAGTATCGGCCGTGGTGTTCGAGATTGCCTGGTTTGCACGGCGAGGTCGGCCGAAGTTGGCAGGGAATTGTCCCTCTTTTCCCCCTCCTGGCCAATAACAATTCTCGGTGGTGTGCCTAGTCTTATCACGGGCCTTGCAATCTGGATTGCGACATCCGCGTACCACGACAGAGGTTCCGGCTCCAGCCGCAAGTGCTTGGGAGTTGGCAGGACCTTTACCCGCAGCACGAAGCGTGGCGGCATGGGTTTGGAGATGAGAAAACACATCAGAGGATGTTGGCATGCCGTATAAACTTGGGAGGATAGGCATCCAGTGATCAGTCGGGATTATCGAGCGAATAATTATTCCCTTAAACTCCTGATCACTCAATGCTGTGGTTCGGAGGTCATTCACAGCTCGTCGTTTCGTGCGCAAGTCGGCGACGTGAATATTGATGTCACTGTTCCCGTCAAACTTCGCCGCATTCAGCGATGCCTCAGCCTCGGAAAGGGCCATATCCGTTTTCTTTGCGTGTTCCGCAGCAACGGAGTCCCAGCATTCCTTTGCCGTTCCGTCAGTCTTGACCCCTAGACCAATGGGGTCGAGAACATTGAGGACAATGTTCGAGTGGGCGAGCTGATCACGAAAGACCCACTCGTCATATGAGGGAGAGGATGAGTATATGGGAGTAGGGTCTGGTGGGAGGGGTGTGGTAGTAGCCATGGCTGTGGTAGTAGTGGCAGAGATGGCAGGACAGACAGTAGTTCCTGCAATGTATCCCCATAGGCCTTTTCCCTTCAGTAACTCAGTAAGTTGGAGTTTCCATGAGGCGTAGTTCTTCCCGTTGAAATGGCTACTCGTGTCAGGGAGGATAGTGACTCCCGACATCGACGACATCGTTTAGGGGTGTGGTGTAAAGTGGTGAGGGTAGTGGTATGGTATAAATTCAAGTGGTAAGTTGAGTCGAAAATTCCGTTGCGTATTCTTCTTGACTGAGTAGTTATAGGCAACGGGGCCTCATAACCTATTGACAGAAGAATATATGTGAGTATCTCAGTCGGGCACAACGTGGGTGAAGCGACTGAGGCATACAGATAGGAACGGCTGGACTATATAGGTGATCGGGAAACGACAGGAGGTGTAAGTATATATAAGGCAAATAGAGCGAGTGATCAAAAAGTAAGATAAGATGAAACGTACGGATATCCTCCAACAGCTTGTTGGACGCGATGCGGATGTTTATTTCACTGGGGAGATGTCGCATGTTTGTCTTTCTTTCATATTCTGGTTACTACCAGCGTACTGACGCGTCGACGACAGCATGAAGTCTTCGCATCAGTCTCTGCTGGGAAGCATGTCATTTTGTGTGAATGACCCCGATACAAGTGATAGAGACGCGACTACAACAGGGTATCGAGCTTTCTTCAATGACAGCCCACCAGCCCGTCATCAATAAACTGCCCATTCACATCGTCATGGCACGAATACGGACATACGTGCAACATGTTTTGAACTCCGCTCCACGCAGGACGGTCCGACGATTCAGAGCGTCAGCGAGGAGAGGATATCACAGGATATCACTAAGATGAATGGGAACGAGACTAGATAAGGTCTGCTTACAGCTCTAATGGGCCGCAGGGATCCAGTTAGAAAGAATCGCCTACTTCGACGCTTTGATGTTCTGATCTGCTCTTGGATCCGATGTTTTGTACGAGGTCTTACGGCGGCGTTATTGTATAGCCTCCAGAACCGAGAATCAGCGGGCACTTGCTTAGAATATTGCCCGTGTTGAGCGAGATGATGCCCGGCGAGACGAGTGCCGGTCGCTGGATGGGCTAGGATGGCCGTTTCGATGCTAAAACGAAGAATGAACAAGACCGAATGATTTTCGAGAAACTTGGAAGCACAGCTAAGTAACAGGCGAGCAGAGGCTTACAGAAAAATTCGATCACGTATTAGTTGGATGACGAAAAGGAGAATGCCTATCTATGAGACTCAAATAGACCAAGTCCGAGGATAATGTGGTGTCGTCGAGAAGCAGTAGGCATGGACTTAAGTCATGCGATATTGGATGCTTATTCTTCTGGCGCAGGCCCACCCAAAAAAACCGGTAGACGAGACCGCCTTACTTGCACCCAACGGCATCAGCATCGCCATGTTCCTGTGCAAGAATAAGACTTTTACCATTCTCACAACAACTCCAATCATGTAATCCTGTAACACTTATTGGTTCCGCAACGGTATATAAAGGTGTGCATGCTGACATGCCAAGTAGCACTCATCTGCACGCTTTCTCATTCCATCGCCATGTCTGGTATCGATGCATGTATCAAGGTCGCACAGTTGACCGCTGCAGCAGGCGAAATGGCTCCGTTTCCCTTTATCAAAGGTGCTGCCGAATGTGTGGTCCTCGTACTCGAGTCCATCAAGGTATACCATCATTTTTTTTCCTAGTGTACATGTTAACGAGATCTGCAGGGCGTCTCGAAGAATAAGAAGGATATGCAAGAATTGGCTGAAAGTATCGTCGCTATACTGGCTGATATAAGGGACACCATCATCGAACATGGTCCGACTAGTGCCACGCGTTTTCAGACGATCTGCGTCGAGTATCAGACGTGAGTTGACCCACATGATCTATCTGTACTTCTCACGCAATCGATGCGCAGGCGCATAACTGATCTCCTTTCCGAGCTGAACAGCAAACGCAGGTCTCCACAGGGAATCTGGAAATACTTGAGAGCCACGAAGGTCTCGGATGATATCAACGATTTACAGCAGCGAATACGGGCGATTCAGAAGTCCTTCCTGGTGGGTGGCTTGCTATCATTACTATAGTCCACTTCTGAACTGGCAGCAGGTCCGTACGGCGACCATGACACAACTAGCCGTCTCCGATGTTCAGGATCAAGTTGCCGCAGGATTCAGCACTCTGACTGGTTCCGTTGAGGCGTCGGAGAGGCAAATCACATCAACCATCAAGGAAAATATCGACGAGATACGCACCTTGGGTGCTCGGCAAAGCGAAAACATGGAAAATCTTTCGACAAGATTACTACAGGCTTCTCATCAACGGGGTCTTTATAAGGGGCTGGTATGCAACCTCCAATCATTCCGCCCTTGGTATTTCAACCTTTGCAGGTCTGGGATTTCATTCCAGGCGACATCCGCATAATCAAGCCAGCAACTCGTTCATTAGGAAGCTATTGTACAACTCGTACTGTTACATACAAGGACAGCTATGGCACCGTCGAGAACAGCGATACATGGAAGATCATTCGCGAATACCAAGCTCTTGGTGATAACGGAGAGGATGCGATGAAAGTGAGTGCATAACACCATATGTCATCGGCAAAGTCCACATGCCTTTATCTAGCAACTTGATAAAGCCCTCGACATCTTCATGAAACTAAAGTTCGGCTCTCCATATCTGTGCAGCTGGCTAAAAACCCACGTTGTAAAGGAGACACCCAAACGTTGCCCAGATCTTTGGTGTATGCAGGTCACCTAATCTTCCGGTGATCATATTCCATGGTGAGAATGCTGTTGTTTCCGTTTTCTTCCGCTGCAGCTAACTCCCACGGGTAGGCACAACAAGAGTCCCTTTCAGCCATTATCAACATAACTTGACTGCGAAGCGGTTCCTACCATTCTATTATGAGTTGGTAAAGTGTATCCTCTGTGTTCTGAGTAAAGCAGCTGACCTCCGGGTGCCTGTAGATTCAAGATCTACGGGTATGTCTGGCAAGAGTTCCATGGGCTACAGTTCAAGAACTATTCTTACAGTCGGTCTTGAAATTTTGGCCACGTTCTCTCTCGCGTACGTGCACCACATATCCCGTCAGTAGTTTCGTGAATGATTTTCCTGTGTACTAAACGTTTTGAAGGATGAGAATGCACTCTATGTCAATGAGTATGACAAAATTGTATTTGGAGACCTACCTTATAGCTATTACGATCTCAACTTGTTCTATTTGTCTTTAACCGGAGCCAGAATGTTGCACGTCCTCTTTGCTTACAATACACGCGACTTGATCGAACAGAGTCGAAGCAGGAGATGGATGTGGCGAAGCGGAGGTTTACGAGATCATTATGACGCTATTGAGTTTCTTTATATGCGAGGTTGCCCAGACGAGGAGCAGTCGGACGAGGAGCACCCCTATGCGCAGGGCAGTGTAGTAATCAATCCTTCGTATCATGTGAAGGAACTCTTGGGACTAGATTCACCCCGAGCCCAGGAAACTTTAGTTGGGAGACTGTGGCCTTCGCCGCTTGAGTGGAAGTGGGAGGTACGCTTGCTAGGAGTGGAAAACGAACAGGGTTTTTTATCATTGGACAAGTTCGTCGTTCAGTTGAGCTTTTTCGATCTTACTGATTGTTGACTGCCAGCGGGTCGGTCACGATGTCCATTAAGCCTTCATCGTTCCATAACCTTTGCATTTCTATCTATGTGCGTTCGGGGGCTGGGATTATGCAATCGTGGATCGCACGGGCTTCCAAGATGTATTTATATCTTCGCTCCATAGGCTATGGAGATGATGTTGGCTTAGATATCATAGATGGTGGGCATCTGGTTCCGTGAAACAACTGCTGACTGGTGTACATATGTAGGTATGATCTTCACCGTTTATCCAAAGGACAGGGACAGCCCTTGTCACCTCTGCAATCTGACGAACGATCATCACGCGCTCTCCTTGTCGGTAACCGCCCCCATTGTCGATTATCAGACCAACATGATTAAATCCTTCCCCGTCATCTCTTGTCTCCGAGCCTGCGGCATGGATTCGGTTGAGGCAGATGTTCCTCTCCGGGTTCGCAGGCACCTTACACGACGCCCATTTCAGTTGCATAAAACGGTGGTTTTGACCATACCCAAGTTGAATGCCGAGTACGGATTCGACCCCGGGCGCGAAGGTGCTGATGTATGCGAGCATTTTGGGTGGCCACTCCTTCAGATCCTTGACCCTTCCACGGGAGGTGGGTAGTTCTTTCTGCGCAGCGGGTATCTTGCTAAGGAACACAGAATGGACGTCAAATGGGGCCGCATCCCAGTCCTCCGGGCCTGCGCCAGTCGTATCGGACAATACGCCAGATCAGACGTTGAATGAAGAGCCCGACTCTATACCGTGCGGTACGGACGTGGCCATGGGAAACATCAAGGAAGCGCAAGCTGGCGAGGCTCCGACCAAGACAGAGATCGTTCCCGTTGTGCAGCATGATATCAGCACACGG